ACACCAAAAACATCCAGTATCGGTAGCATCTTGTTGAGAAAATCGACTTTGTGAAACACCATCGAAAAGGAGTATTGAGTCATAGAGATAATAATTTGGATTGCTCCCTTCTCCTCAAATGTGGCAGACGTCTTAGCAATGACGTCTCACTCTAATATATGAGCTACTTTCTTATTTTCGATATAGTAGCAAAATGCCATAAATCCGAGTTTATATTCTAAGAATCTGATCTCAGAACTTCAGTTTCAAAAGAAACGAATATCATATTGAGAATCAGCAAGACAAAACTGCATCGAATAATATACTCAATGCTTAAAATTAATTTTCGTAAAATTTCAGACCTTATACTTCCTCACTGGTATTTTTGAGTCCCGTCCCATTTTATTTTCAAAATGTTTCGATCCCAAATATTCCGTTCGAGACTGTCTCCCAGGATTCGAGTGTTTTTCCTCAGGACGGAAATTTGAGGCAAATTAGCTTTAAGTATCAAGTATAGTATTTGATGCAGATTTTTGTACTGTCCCTGAATATGATATTCATATCTTTTTGAATTGAAATTCCGATGATCAAAATTTTAGAATACAAACCCTTATTTATGATGTTTTCCTATCACATTGAAAAAAAATCGATTTTCTCAATAATCAAACAATATTGCTAAGATTTCATGCTTTTGGAGTAGACTTTTCTGATTGTTATTAATCTAATTTTGGATAAGTTTCACTACACAAGCATCGTTCGAATATGTCAGAAAATAAATTTTTCATAGGTAACTCGACGAGCTTTATCTAGGCATAACAAAAAGAAAATACTCAAAGGAATATTATATAAAATCTTCTTATATAATTTAGATTGTCAATAATGAAACATTAAAATTAAATAATCTTCATACTGAATTGGATGATAATGAAAAAGAAACAAAATTAGCTGGTGAGCGTTCAGAACAATTAAAGCTTATTACACAAAATATAACACATCTTAATGAACTCAATCAACAACTTGAATGTCAATATTTACGATTTACAGATGATATGTCAATGACAATATATAATCAATTGTTACCTTCTCATCTTACTAAAGATGATGATGAACAACATCAATTTAAATCAACATCATCAACAACAACAAATGGACATGATGAAACAAGTGAAGTTGATTCAGTTTCTTTCAATGATGAACATCGACAAGAAATCGATGATTTACAACAACAAGATGATGAATCACCTGAAAATTATGAACAATTACTTACTGATATAATCGAAATGTTAACAAAACAAAGTGAGTAAAAATATGAAGATTTTATTCATTTCTATTATTTATATCATTATATTTTTAGATACGGATAACGATGTGACTTCAACAGATATCGAAAACAGAGCACATACAATTCTTCTTGAATATATGGAATCTAAACTAAACATGCAGGTATGAAATATAGAATTACTTTTTAATATTAGTCCTATAATCAAAATTATTTTAGAATTATCTGATCGATCATAACACACGCTATATTGACCTATATTTGGGAGCTCAAGCAGATTATATTGTGCAAGTCGAAAATGAACTCTCGTCGAATAAATCAATATTAGAACAGATGCAAAATGTAGCAATGTAATTTTTTTTTTTCTTGCACACATCTATCATTATTCATGCAATTAAAATATATAGAAAGAAGTATCCCATTGTGTAACAATATATATATATATATATGTATAGCTGAATTCCAATGCAATTATCTTATTTAAATAAACAGAAAAATGTTTGAATGAAAAATTAGAAAGTGACATCGAAAAGAGCATTGTTACATCGATGTCAGTCGACATATATTGTGATTGATAGCCTCTTGATTGATATACTTTTGGTAGAGTCGGATGTAATCATGTTTGTTCATTCTCCTATCATCTTAACGAACATTTTTTAATCAATATCTTGTTGCAGAATTTCCAGCTGTATTTAAGTTTCAGATTATTTGATTAAATCAAAATATTGTTTTATTTATTTGATGTACATGAAACTAGATCGAAATATAAGAACAAAATAAAACTATAGAAAATGAACTATATCTTCTCTATCAGAGATAATCAAACACATGTTTTGTTCTTTAATGGTATCCTCTATCCTTTCCGAAGTTTCTCAAGAACAAATCATCAGAACAATTTCAAATTTTTAGAACAGGTAGACATTGACCGATAGTGTCAAGTTGGCATAGACTCAAAGTTCTCGGATGCTATCTTCTATGAGGTATTGGGATCATAATGGTGAGCAATAGCTTCACTGTTTCTCCCAAATGCTATGTTTGGTCGTGCTGAAAATTTTTTCTACAGACGCTAGACACTATTTAGAGGGTATGGTGTAAAAATCTCGAAAAAAAAAATCTCGAAAAAAAATCTCGAAAGAAATAAGCCCGAAAACAATAATATCGAAAAACCGAAAGATCGAAAAATCAAAATCTCGAAAAAACAGTATTTCGAAAAAAAAAATCTCGAAATTGTAAAATTTCGAATAAATGAATCTTGAACAGTCTGCAGGTGTGGGTGTGAGGTGCTTGTGGGTGTGGGTGTGTGGATATGAGTGTGAGTATGGGTGCGTGTGGGTGCCTGGGTGCGGGGTGCATGCGGGTGTCTTGGTGTGGGTGCGGGCGTTGGGTGCATGTGGGTGTGGATGTGGGTGTGAGTATGGGTGCGTGTGGGTGTCTGGGTGTGGGTGTGGGTGCATGTGGATGTGGATGTGTGGGTGTGGATGTGGGTATGAGTGCGGGTGCATGTGGGCACATGGGGTGAATGTGGTTGTCTGGGTGTGGGTGTGGGTGTAGAGTGCATGTGGGTGTGGGTGTGGGTGTGGGTGTGGAGTGCATGTAGATGTGGGTATAGGTATACTTGGACGTGTGGGTAGGGCAAGATTCGGATCCGCACATACACCCACACTCACTTTCAATCCAAACTCATTCCCCACTTACATACTTAACTATTTGAAATCCTATTTTATTCGGCATTTGGTATTTCGAAATTTTACTTTTTCGACATTTTGTATTTCGAGATTTTTGTTTTCGAATTTTTTTTTTCGAGATTTTCGTTATTCGAAATTTTACGTTTCGAGATTTTTTTTTTCGGGATTTTTTTTTTCGAGATTTTTTTTCGAGATTTTTACAGCAATTCATTTAGAGTGAGTATCTGCTTATTTTTTTTTTGTCCTTCGGACAAGAAAAACAAAATATCTATAGTACCCTAAAGAACGCATGTTGTTTTCTGAATAAAGCTATCAACAATTCGCAGAACACTATTTTTTGAAATCAAAAACAAAAAACTATTCAAAACGGTGTATAGTATATGCGAAACAGGTTTCAGTTTGGTCGGACGTACTAGGTTCGAGAAACGGGAGCTTTTCTGTACTTTTTTCATCAAACAGTTGGTTTGAGAAACACGCGAGACAAAGTACAGTTTTCGCTAACTTAATGTCCTATCGAATTTTTTAACGTTTAAAGACAAGTTTTCGATCCCAAAATGTACTCTTCAGACTATACAATGATCATAAAATGCCATAACTGACACGAAAGAGGCAGATAGAGCACCTTGGTTTTTGGCACAATTTTTGATGATTTCCGTCATATGCTTCTTAGAAAATAGCGGTTTTTTATCAAAACAAAAGATATCCTTTTTCATTTCGTCTTTGCTTACATTATTTCTTCTGCTCACAACAGCTGACTGGAGACTAATTCACCAAGTTTTAATTATCTCAGGTAAAAGATGGAGACCAAATCATCAAAATCACCATTTTATGAAACTTACTGAAGATGAACAAAAACTCATACTGAAGATTCAAAAGCCTTGGCGTCATGTCGAGATTCACTGTTCTCTAGAACACTGCGACACAAAATACAGATTTTTTTTATGACAAAAAACAACAGCAATTTCGTTGATAATAACCCATCAAACGCTCGATATGTCTTGAGCAAGATAAGAAAATTAAAAGTGAACTAGTATTTAATTTTCATATTTATTCAGAAAAGAGTTACATAAATGACAATATTCAAAATAATTTCATCTGTTAAAATATTCTAAAACAAAAAACCAATATCCTCTTTCGATGACTAAAAGCTGCAGATGACTAGCTACTGCTATTATCAAGTTATTGAGTTTGCACCCATTTCTCTTTAAATTCACTGCCCAACATAGAATGATAGTCAATCTGGCTAGGAGCAATGTCAAAAATATTTTTTTTCTCTTAGAAAAATCATAACCCTTCGTCTCCCCTAATATTAACTGCAATATAATACGATTTTAAAAAACACATGGATCTTTTCTGTAATTGAGAAGATTTTGAAACTCACTGAAGTCAATCAACGAAAATTAAGCAGATAATATTTGCATCAAGAAAAAATGATCATGTTCTAATATTTTACTACAGTCAAGTAACAAACCATATAGCATAGCTTCTCAAAATGCCTGATGCATAGTAAAAATATATCGATTAGTAGTGCACACGCGATATTCTGATGTAATCGACGAAAAAATGGTGCGTATTATTAATTTCAGCAATACGAAAACAGCGATTCTATTCGAATGAGTCATATGGTAAACTGGTGCACAAGTATGACTTATCAAAAAGTTAACTTATCCTCTTCTTCATTTTAGCAAGAGCTTACGTTCAGACAGTTTTTTCGTGCAATTCCAATTGGTAGAGATTTTATTTGTTTCAATTAAATGAATGAAACTTCGTTATCAAAACAATAACTAAGAATTCTATTGATATATGAATATCAATTATGAAATAAAAAATTTCCTGAAATTAATATGAAAATGATATTTTATTTCAGCATAGCGAAACTAGCGCCAAAAGGATCGCATATTGATAGGATTGGCTCAGACGGCATGCGTGACGTTCGACACAAGGTAAAACATGGACGGTTCCCATAAACTAGATAAGTTCCTGTCTATTTTTTTTTTGTAGAAATAAACTAGTCGATTTCTATTTTTAGATCAGTATTGATTTTAATTTAAAAGGTTATGTCTCAATCAACACCTTCCGAAAATGTGAGTGATACATCCGCAACGACGATTAGTCAACCAGCAAAGGTTGCACCTACATTAAAACTTGATAGTATGTGTTTCTTTTTTTTTCTCGATCAGATTTTTATATATTTTATGTGATTAACTCATATTTTTTCAGTTCTTCGTATTATTCGACTTTGCCAACAACAACATGGCCTCCGTCATGGCGATTACCAACGATATCGGTAAATTGATGTTTGAACGAAAAAAATTTTTTTATTAACATTAAAAAGAATCTTGATTCATATTTAAGATCATTCTGCTCTCGTCGTCTGCGTCGTATACGCAAATCTCTCGAATTAACATATGGTAATCAAAAAAAATTTCAAAAACCTATAATTACAGATGAACTTGTCGCAAAAGATTCACGGTAAATATAAACAATCATTTTTATTTACTATATTTATTTAATATTTTCTATTTTACAGTTACCTTCTATTACCACTTATTTGTAGTGAACGTGCATGGGCTTATGCTATGCAATTGAAAAGTATATTTATAAATAAACTCTAAAGAGAAAATTTGATATATAATTAAATTATAGGTGAAGCAAATACAGAACCTCGAAAAAAATTTCATCTTTTAAGTCGTCTTCGTAAAGCAGTTAAACACGCTGAACAATTAGAGACATTATGTAATCAACAGAAAACATGCGATGCTCGTACAAAACTCGAAGTTCAAGTTAGAATTTAATAAAGAAAAATATTTTTTTCTACTAAGATTTATATATGTTTTTAGGCTTATACAGCTGTTATGAATGGTCATTTAAAATTTGAAATGCAATCATGGGCTGATGCATTACAATTTTATATTCGTGCTCAGTACGTTTATTATTATTAAATCTAATGTATATATTAATATATTTCATTATGATTAGAGCAATTTATGATAAACTTAAAACGGGTGTTCGCAGTGAAGATGATAAACAAATGATTGATCAACGTATTGATGAAATAACAACAAATGCTCGTTTTTGTCAATATAAAAGTGGTGATAAAAATGCTGCAAAAGAATTAAGAAGTTTAAGAGCTAAAGCAACAGTTGATGATCCTGAAATGACACGTGTTCTTGATGTAAGTTTAGAGTTTTTCTTTTGTTAATCATTAAAATTTGATAAAAATCGATGAATTTCTTTTTTTTTAAAGGCATTTCTTAGTGAAACACATGAGCAACAAACATCATCAATATCAGAAATAACATGGCGACAACGTAAAATACAAGTAACAAATGAAAAAGTTCGTTTATTCTTTCTTAATTTACAAGAATTTCACAATGAAATCAAAGTAAAAATTAAACAAGACAAGTTTTTAAAAAAAAAATGTTTTTTTTTTACATTTATTTCTAGAAACAAGATGTTTCATTCGATACAAAAATGAGTCTTTACGAAAGTTTTCTTAAAGATGCAGTTGAAACATTACAAATTGTTAAAGATGAACTTAAAAATGATCCTGTAAGTAGCGAGGTTTTTTTTTAATACAATTTTTATGAAACACGATCTAAAAGGACTGTTGAAATATATAGGGTAGAAATTTGCATTTTCCTCCTCGACAGATTGTAATAGGCATTTTTGTGTATCTCATAAAAAAACCGTATATCAATAAAGTCTCCTTAAACTAGCAAGAGCAGCTACATTGTGTTTCACATTTTAATTCTGCACGGATTGCGCTAACAGCTTTTTTTTTTATACAGACATTTAAACCTGTTCCGGCATCATCAATCACAACTGCTAGTGCAACACGTGAAAATAATGATAAATTATCCGATTCGGTTTGGCTTTATAGTTATATTGCATGGATTCGTCTTTCTAAAATGATTGAACGTAATTTAGCAATGATTGATAATGGTAAACAACAAATATTTAAAACACCTACAACTGATACTGGGAAAATTGATGCAACATCAGCTAAAAAGGTAACAAAAGCAGCTGATATTATTCGAATGTATGATTTATTATTACAAGTAAGATATTATTTCTTTTTTTCTTTCTTATTATATTTGATTCAATAATAAATTTCTAGTTTTTAAATGATATTCTTGCAATACCAGCTTTACAAAATGATAAAATAATACAATCGGATGTTGCTTTTCAAACAATTGTTTACAAGGCTTGCAGGTTTGATTGATTTTTTCTTTCGCTGTAATTTAAATGGTCAGTAAAGAAAAAATGTATAAAAGATTAGTATAAAGATTGAGTAGTCAGTACTTGAGTTATTAGTATTTAATTCAAAAAAAAAATGGTCAGTTTATTATATTTAATTATCAATAAAAAACACATTTTTATACCAGTAAGAAATTCCGATTTGCTCAGTGAAAAATATTGATGTCTAGGTTCAAATAAGTTTTCATCTTTGTTCTTTGTAAAAAAATATTGTTTTTTTCTTACGAATATCAATACTATAAATGAAATAAATAAATTGAATTCTTTATCTTTAACTAAATAATAATTTCAATATTTTTCTTTTCAATCAAAATAGGATTAACCATACTTACATATCCTTATGATCATTATGCTCATTTTCAGTTTCATAAATAGTAACTTTTTTCACTGTCTGTATAGCATAGCAGATAAATACCTGCTCTACATTAAGATCCACGACGTTTAGCTTTGTTACATCTGTATCAACATTATCAAATGAAGCTCTGTCAAATCAATATTTTGATTTCTTTTTCTGTCCAGATCTTTCGTTTCCATGTATTTCGTGACTTTCTTCCAATCTGATACATCACTTTTATATTGCGTAACTTGCACCATGTTCATCGTTTTTTATTTGCGGACTCTACACTGAAATTAGAGTTAATTCGATTCAGTTCAATGGAATAGTAACATTTATGTGTATTTTTCAAAATATATATGTTTGGTGCATGTCGCGATGTTTGTATCGCAGAAGAAATTAGAATTCAGAAATTTTTTTTTATTTTCCTATATTCTAATTTCTTCTGTAACATTTATGTATAGTTATTTTGATTTAGAAAAAAATGAATCAATTATCACAATAAGTTAAAACTATGAATTTATTTGTCTGATTGAAAAACTAATACGATCAATATAGACACTAGATATGTGACTGTCCGTGACCGTAACCGTGAGTTACGCTGAACACTAGTCGTACATAGTATCTGTACTGCATGGTATAGAGATACAAAGAAAAGAAGAAAAAAAAGAGTGAACTACACTATAATTCATGTCAATTTCTATACTTATCCGTTCGTTTTAATTAACTGTTAGTAAATTTTATTAATTGATCTTGAAATTTATTAGCAAATCTTATTCATAACTTATTGATTAAATATTTTATTTACCTTGATTATTTAATAGAATAAATATATTTTTCTTTTAAAGATCATTTTATATAACAATATCATTTATTCAACAAAAACGTTTTAAAGAATCGGCTGCATTTGTAATTAAAACTGAAGCATATATTGAACAGGCAAAGAAAATAGTCGATGATGGACAACAATTAAAATCAAGTGAAATTAATTATCAAGTATAAAAAAAAAAAGAAATGATCATTATTTTATTTAAATTTAAAAATTTGTTTTTTTTCTTTTAGTCATTATTAAATGAATTTACTTTTATTCAATCGAAACTCGATGAAGTTAAATATGAAATTCAAACATCAGCTACATCAACACCAATAGGTAATGCTTCACCTAAAGTTGGTGCAATACAACAATCATTTGATCAGCCTCTTTCACTTGATGAGCAAAAAGAATTGGACAAAAAAGTAACGTCGTCACATTTTTTTTTCTTGTAAACTTTCATCTTATTATTTGTTTTTTGTTAGCCTTTAATCGATCGTTTGGATACTTATTATGAAGATTCATCATTAACTAATAAAAATCGTTTGAATATTGTTTCATTACCACCACCATTTAAACCTATTCCATGCAAACCCATTCTCTTCGATTTAGCACTTAATCATCTAATCTTTCCATCATTAGATGATAAAGTTCAAAGTAAACGTCAGGCAACAACATCTACTGATAAAGGACAACAACAACAAGCTGGTCTTACTGGTTTTGTCAAAGGATTTTTTTCTTGGGGTGGAAAAAAACAATAGATTATATAGAATTGTTTTTTTAAACGCGAAAAAAAAAAGAAAAGACTGATTTTATTGTTAAAAAAAAATATAAGCGTTATATTATTTAACCATTTTAGATGGGGTCTTTATTTGGTAAGAAATCTCATAAATCTTCGAGGCAACCGGCAATAACAGAACAAGATCGTGCAATACTTGTAAAGCTAGATTTAAATTCTTTTTTTTTTGTTTTTTGTGAAGTTTTTATTTAGCAATTAAAACAACAACGTGATCGATTAAATCAAAATCGACGACGAATTGAAACTCAACTTGAACGTGAACGTGAAGTTGCTAAACAATTATTAAAAAATGGACAAAAAGAGTAATGAATTATTACTTATTATATTTCTAAAGAATTCTGCTGGATTTATTGATCCATCTTGAATCAGGATACCATCTATGCGGTCTTGTAGAGCAATTTACGACACATCAAATGGTATATAAAAATCGAATTTTCCTCAAATTTTGATGTACCTGAGGGTTCATATTTTGATCATAATTCTTGAGCAATGTATATAAACCTTCGGAACATGAAAAACTTGATTTCTTATATACCATTCGATGTGCGGCAAAATGCTCTACAAGACCATATATATGGTGTCCTGATTCAAGATAGATCACTAAATTCGATGGAGTCCTTATCATATTTTTAAAAAAATTGTAGGCGTGCATTATTATTACTTCGAAAGAAAAAAATGCTTGAAATGCAACTTGATAAAAGTGAAGGTATATTGGAAAATGTTGAACGAATGGTAATAGTTTTTGTTGTTAATAATTATTTAGTTATTTTTATTTTCTATAATAATTAGACACATGAATTAGAATTTGCTCAAGTACAAGTCGATGTTGTTAATAGTTTAAGACAAGGAACAGATGCATTAAAAAAAATGAATGAAATTCTTAAACTTGAAGATATTGAAAAATTAATGGAAGATTCACGTGAAGCTATGGAATATCAAAATGTTTGTTTTAGTTTTTTGTATTGTTTAATTAAAATTAATTTTGATGGTTTTGTTTTTCTTTTATTTTTAGGAAGTATCAAATCTTTTAGCTGGTAGTTTAAGTCGAGCTGATGAACAAGATGTTGAAGCTGAATTAGATGAATTAATTCGAGCTGAAGAAGCACAGCACATTGGTCGTTTACCAGATGTACCTCAACGTCGTGAACGTAAACTATTTATATAAATATTGAAATTTTATTTTATTCAATTTGTTATTTAGGTGAACGTGATCGTATACCTGTTATATCTCCAACAAGAGTAAAACAACGTGTGCTTGCCGAAGCTGATTAAATAAAAATTCTTATTCTTATATTATTTGTTTTGTGTATATGCTTCAAGCGCTTTGTTTCTTTTTTTTACGACATACAAGCATTTTGATTCCTATTTGTTTCCTTTTTTTTTTATTGAATAACTTTTAAATTAATGTGTTTTTAGATTTAAATGATAATTAAAGATTATGTTGGTCTTATTTTATTAATATTTGTAGCTGGTGAGATATTTGAAGGTTGTATTATCCTTTCGGAAATAAAAGATGCTTTACGGTTATCGAAATAACTTTTAATAGGAGGAACATAGAGAGCTGCAATTTTCACTACGAAAGAGTGAAGTCTTGGGTCTACAATATCAAATTTGATTAATCTGAAGTTGGCCAACAAGATGAATTTTTGCCGGAGATTTTGAGAATGGTTTTCTAGAAAAACTTTCTTCGTGTATTCCTATTAAAATTATTTTTAATTGAAAGAGAAAATCAAGCATTCTCGATCTACGCAAGGTTGACATTGTTAGACTGCTCCGTTCAAGAGTTATAAAAGGTTTTCAGAAACTCTTATAACTCTTGAACGAAACAATCTGACAAAGTCGCCTTGTGTAGATCGAGAGAGATTGATTTTCTCTTTTAATTAAAAATAATTAATATAAAAATGCAAGAAGAAAACTTTTCATTCTCAAAATCTTCGACAAAAATTTATCTAATTGGCCAATTTCAGATTGATCAAATTAGATATTGTAGCTCCAAGATTTCAAGTTCTAATAGTGAAAATCGCAGCTCTCTATCTTCTTCTTATCAAAAGTTATTTAGATAACTGTAAGATCTCTTTTATTTCCGAAAGGAAAATAGTTTTCAAATAAAACAAATACAGATGAGTGAACTAATGATTTTCGTAGAAAGGAAATATAAATTTCTTTAACAATATTAAATATGGTAAATACATTTTTTGATATATTTATTTGTGAATTTATTCGAAAATTTAGTATCTGTAAATGTTTTATTGTATATATAACGTATTGTTAATTTTTTTTTTCGTTTGAATATAATGTCATTAGAACAGTGTTGAATACAAAAAAAAAATGACGAGATTTCCTTTTAGACAGTGCTTCTTTTCCAGAAGGACCCATAAGATGAAGTTGTTTCTCAATAGACAGGGATTCTAATATGGTAGTTGTAATTAGTTTCTATGTGTATATCATTTTAATCATAAATTAATCGTTCCGGAAGAGTTAGATAAATTTGTTTTACTAACTCTTAATCATATTATGATATATTTTGAAAATTAATTTTATCTTTGATTTTCTCAGCATACATTACTAGCATTGGTTATTCGGCTTGAGAATCTATTTCACTATCATCGTTATCTAACTTTAACAGTAGGTCTTTTGTGTATTTTATCTGTAACTAGTATATGTACAAGTTAGTAAATAACCATACTGTTTAAATTAGTCTTGATGATTATTTCTTATATTAAGAATTTATTATCTATACATATTCATAGACTTGAATTTAGAAGGAGTCTTTGGGTTTACCCGATAGTCAGTGAAAATAATCTTTTGCTAAAAGTGTTTTCTAAATAGGGTTCAATTGATTATTTTAGATTTGAGAGTTGTCAAAATAGCGAGTCATTAAAAGAAAATCTAAGATATATTGTATGCATTATTAATCTTTTCTTTTGTGTATAATGGCTTTTGATTATCTTATCCGCATAAAGCAAATATCATAACTATATGAAATTTCATATTTGTTTAAAATGTCTTGTATCATATATAAAAATGAAAATTATTTATGAACTATTTTCTATTTTGTTTTACCATCCATCTGATATACATCTCATAACTAGAGATGTGCGAGACTAATTTTAGTTCCGATGGTAGTCACACCAAAATTTAGAAGTTTTATAGGATTAGAACTACGAGAAAAAATTGTTCCCATGAGAACTAAAGATTATAGTTAAATATCCTGTGGTTTTAAGCGAATTATCTTATGAATCATCAATCAGAACATAATACAAGAATAATGACCTAAAAAAGTGCTAATCATTGACTAAATAAATCAAAAATGAGTACTGAAGAATTTCTAGATATAATACAAATCAATTCTGAAATAGTCTTCTCTCGAACGGGATCAAAAAGCTTCGTCCTTCACATCTCTACTCATAACTATTATCATTAATTTTTCTAGATGTAAACAAAAAAAAATATTTATGATGAATCTTATATTATCATTTATTTTTCTCGCAATATTTCTTCCACATATATCAAGTCTATTTTCTTTGGAACATATTCTTTGTAATCAATCAATTTCAACGCCATCGATTGATTTATCTATTACAACAAATCAAAATATATCATTAAATCTTTGTAATAATACATTTAATATAACAATTCATTCAAATGAATATTTTTTTTCACAAAATATTTCTGTTGATAAACAAATTACAAATCCAATAAATCCTTATTTTACCTATATAGGTCATATGATTAATAATAATGATCATTCAAGTGTGAGTTTAATTATTTATCCACAATTACAAATTTATTTATATTTCAATGATACATATTATTATTATCTTTCATTATCAAATAATTCAACAATAACATTAAAATTTTCTCAACGACAATTATTACAATATTATCCTCAATTAGTTAATGATAGTTTATGGAAAATTTTACAATATGAAGAAGATAATTATCAACAATATTCATTCATTTTACATGATTTACATTTTATATATGAATTATTAACATTAAGATGTGAATCCGATAATTTAGAATATAAAACAATATCATTTTGTTCATTAGCTTTATTAATTGATGAATATTTGTATGAAAAAATTTTTTATTCAAATATTTATTATATATATACATTCATAGAACATTATAATTTTTTATTACGTACATTAACAAATAATGAATATGGAGGATTTTTATTAAAAAATATAAAATTAATTAATCATATTGAAACAAATTCAAATCGATCATTTGATTTACTTCATAGATTATCAAATAATACAAGTCTATTATCAAAAGATTATTGTCTTGTTCATCAAATGTTAATAACAAATATTGAATATGAAAATTATATTCTTGGTTATCAATCATCAATACATACATATGATATTGGTGGAATATGTTCATTACCATTTCATATTAATAATAATAATCATTCAGAAGAAATAAATCTTAATACTGGTTTATCAATATTAAATGAAAATATAACAAAAAATATTTCAATATTTTTTAATGGTTTAATGAAAACAAGTTATTTATTTTTTCGTCAAATGGGTTTAAATTTAACATTATGTTCAATAAATGCAACACGAAAAGGTTTTTTTCAATTTAATACTGATTTATCACCTGTTGTTCAACATTGTATTGATCTTATACCCGTAACATTAGATCAAGCACTTAAACGACGTGCACATCTTTGTTTTAATCATATTAATATTGATAATTTAACAAATCAAACAATAAAACAAGATATTCTATGTAAACAATCTCTTGATTTACAATCATCTGTACCAATTAATGGAAAAAATCGTAAAAGTCCATATATTGAAAATGCATTAAATGATAATCGACGTGGTGAATGGTTTGAAGGAAATATAGTTGGAATGATTTTAACATTTTCATTATTAATATGGATACCTGTTAGTTGTTTTGTACATTTTTGTGTTGATGAAATAAATAAAAAATCATTAATTGAAAAACAACAAGATATGGAAACATTACCAATGAAACCATTAATTATTGAACAAGTTGGAATAACAAAACAAACACAAACTGATTAAAATTAACTTTTTTTCTTTCGTTTATGTCAGATTCATTTTTCTCTTTCTTTTTTGTATTTGATGTGGAAATATATTTACTTTTATTATAGTAGAAATCTAACAAAGTATTGACATAGATTTTTGTTAAATAAAATTCTATATTTTATTTGAGATGTCAGTTCTTTATGGTTATGGTGATTTAATATCGGAAGAAGTTGAAACAATTGATAGTGATGAAGAAGATGAAAAACGATCAAGTCGAAATCCAGATAAGTGAGTTTTATTTTTTATCTATTATACATTATGAAAAAGAAATGGGAAAATGTTGAGTTTCATTGATTGATATGTATCACAATCAGAAATATTTTGAAAATTCGGTGCTAGAACAAATCACCACATAGGCAGAACGTTACAAGGAGGATGTGGATGTTGATGTAGATGTTTTCTTCACTAAAATCCACAATCACACCCAAAATCTACTATAATCTAAACGATTGTAGTTAATTACATAAGCGAATTTATGAGCGCTGGTCATATAGAAAGTCAGTGGAATCCATTTTTTTATCAAAATCACATCATTCTATGTAACTGATATCTTTGTTGTATATTAAAAAAATGTTCTTTACAAGAAGATCATTCAAATGAAGAATCCAATGATCTATATCAGATGCTTATCAACTTTTGATTTGAGTAGGATTTGATTGCTGTAACTGTGACGACATCATTTTTTTTAATCTTATGTGCATTGCATATAAATATATTAATTAAATTTAGATCACCATTTTCAATCGTCTGGCGAGATGATTTAAATAATGAGAATATCAAAATTTCATGTTCATCTTTATTAATTACTTTAGGTACAACTGCTTCAGGTAAAAAATTTTTTCTTGTTTCTAAAATAATAGATAGACGAAAATTTGTTTTTTGTTTTGTTTTGTTTTAATAGCATTTGCTTTTACGCATGTTATATGCAATTATGATCTAGAATTAATAGGTTATGGAACAGATGAAAAAATGACTGATGATGGAAATATCGAAAAAAAATCCTTTGATCAAATCAAAATGCAACAATATGCAACACAAAGTGTTGATCGTATTTATCGATTACCATCAAGTTCATTTGTACTTATTCAATTAAATTCTTCAGTTACATCTGATCGAATATGGCCAATAAGTGAACAGGTATTTTAAAAATTTACAAAACATGAATAATTTTTCATTAATATAAAATAGATTTTGAATAAATTTAATTTTTTAAATCTAAATATTTCAAATCCTGTTTATATTATACAATCACGTTTATCTATGGATTATGTGACTATTGCAGGTGAATTAGAAAATAAATCAAATTTATTTATTCGTTATATCAAATCATCAATAATTCCAACAGATAATAAAATTACACAAATGCTTAAACCAATTGAACCACCAAATGCAATCCGAGGTCTATCAGCTGCTTGTAAGTCAATTGTTTTTTTATTCATATCTTTTCATATTTATTTCACAAAAGAACTTTTTATTTTAGTATTTACGAAATTCCATCAAGGAAATATTCCGGTTATAGTTCTTGTTGTTTATCAACGTCATTCATCTGTTAATGCTGATGCATTAAAATTATTACAAGGAATATTAGATCGAACATCAACAACACTTAAACCATATATTCAATTAACAGAAAAAACAAATAAACAATTGATTCGATTAGCATCTACACAAACAAGTAATATGTACTCATAGATATTTCACTGATTATCAAAAACAAGACAAAAAGTTTTATTCTTTTTCTTGTCTTTTTTAATAAAGATTATGAAACATTTCTACAAAAAAAACAAACAAACAAACAAACATGAAAAATATGATCAAATAGATCTGGCGTTTTCTTTCTTTCTTTCTTGATTTTTTTCTTAAAATGGACACATCATTCCAAATAATAGAACATGCATAACGACAACACTAATTGCAATAAAAATAAGAATCATTGCAATTGTATAATTTCGATAACCAGGTTCACCATGATATTCAGGTGTAATAAGCCAAAGTAAATGTTGAATATAATTATCAGCTGAAGTTATATCAGCTTTTGTCGTACCAGTTAAATTAAGTGCCGAACTAACAAAATAAAAACAAACAATTGATTTTATTCAAATAAATAAATAAATAAATACAAAATACCTTGTGAAATCAATAAAAGCTGATTGAAGGGAGACAAGATATCGTTGTGTTGACGTACTAGCACAAGTATATGTGGTACAATCAAATTGCCAATTTGAATAAGTATAACTTCATGTTCATAATTATTCATATGAAAAAATTGAAAACAAAAAAATAACTTACTTATATTGAACAGAAACAATTCGTTCAAATGAAACTGTTGGACTGATTTGTACACGAACAAAACCAAATTCTATATAAATACCAGATGGAACATCATTACAAATTGAAAGAGTTTCTGTTGCATCATAAATCGTATAGAGACTTGTATTAAGCCTTGTTCGAATAATATCACTTGGATTTAATCGATTAGTGGCGCGTGTTTGATCTATTCGATTAAGATCAATTTTATCTTGATTATCATCTCTAAATTAAAAATAATTTTTTATTACATACAATTCTGAACAAAAGTAATGGCCCACTCTAAAATCCATCTATTCTTTATAGTATCGAGCTAATATTTTGCATGTCTGCGTGCAACAATAAACTCTGATCGTAAGTATCAATCGGTCTCCATTGGTTCACATGTATTCTATTTATGATTCCAAACATTATCTTTCTCTTGCAAAAAACATATTCAACAGTAATATACATCCAAAAGGTTTTCGTTTGTCATTGTGCTGTTTTATAAAAAATTACTATTTTTTCTAGTGCTAAAGGCAGTCCTATATATCTCCTTTATTATCACCAAATCGTGTAGTATATAATCAAGACCTAAATAGTTAGCACGCTCTGAGATAGTGAACGCATGTCGCAGCTAGTGGCCTGCAACCCGAGCCGGCCTGAAGCATGGGTCTGAGTACAAACTCGCTCCATAGGTTTGAGTCCCAGGGTATGATCTCATAACGAGACTCAACCCCGAAATTCATGAGATCTCGATGTTTCAAAGTATTTTTATTTAAACTGCTAACTTATATAAAAGCATAGGAATGAAAACCGGTTCGATCACGATCGAGCAATATATTGTATTTGAGAACAGATCATAGAAGTGGAAAGCGATATTGTTTTACTCAAAGAATTCATTTTTAATGAAGATTCATTTATAGATGATGATGAACCATATGCCAAAGTAACTAAATACATCAAGAAGAAAATGAATTATCAAAAAAATGAATGTGTATTATCGTGTTGGAAAAAGCATTCATGTATGTATCTATAATTATGACATTTAGTACCAACAGTACATTCCATTCTTGTATCATCAGCAACCAGAAAACGCATATTTAACGAAATTGATCGAATTTTAGAAGCAGAAAGACACCAAATGAATCCTAAATCATTTGATTCATTTGTTTTTTGTGGAATTTACGATGATCTCTTTTTTTTGTCGCTGTTTATGGAAGAAAGTAAATAGTATAATTTTTCATATGAAATGAATGTTTGAGAACTGTACTATAACTGTGAAAATATCTGCCGGAATTCGATTAGCTTTAGTTGCGAAAAGTCCTATCCGTACCAGACTTGGAACCGGTCTGATTTTTTCAGACCGGACCGGTGAAAAACCGACCGGTCCAAGTTTATGATTTGACCGGCGAAAAAACGGCTGACCCAAATTCTTGATTTAACTGACGAAAAAAACAGTGCACTCGTGTATTAGCTAAACAGCCAATGTTTTTGCGAAACAGTTTGTTAGTTTAGCTCTACTAAGACATATAATATCAAACTCATACGATTCTTGGAGCTTCTAATAGCACCGACTTCATTTTTAGTTTGTCATGTTTTGTATGCTAATATTCAGAACCAATGAAAATTTCTTTCAAAAAGTTTTGACTAGGGCTCACAGCAACTAGGATTTAACACCAAATAACTATTCTGTGAGTCTTTTCAAATAACGATATGATTTCTTTACCATTGATAGGGTTAGTCTATTCTTATCTGAAATACTTAGTTCCTTAACACAGTTGAAATGTATTCCATTCCACAGAAGAATGCTACTGCAGAGAGGAAGATAATGTGAGCTAATCGGTAAGATTTTTACATTAGACTTTCTATTTGAGGTTTATTGACACCTAAATATTATCGCAGTTGCATGATGCTACTAGTTAGAAAGACCGTGACAACAGAAACGATTTTATTCAAAACATTTTGCTATGAAAGCATGAATTTGAATACTGGTGGCTATTGGGCTTCTATGAAAATCAGCTAAGATTACGACATACGAGTGATCCGAAATTTCAAGAAAAATGTTGAATTAAATCGACAGCAACTTGCAAAATCTAGCTAACTTTTCGTGAGTATAATGAATTCATTCGACATAATGTGAGCCTCTAATGAAAGGATAAGAGTGTTGGTCACTATTTAGAGCTGGTATTTCCAATACGATTGAAGTTTTGCCAGTGGGAAATTTTCCGAATTAAATCGATTCACCATTGATTACATGAAAAATCCTTAAAAATGAGCAAAATAAGCAAGTTTTGGTTGCCAAAATTCTTAAAAAAACCGGTAAAAAACCAGCGAAGATCGGCCGGTCTGAAAATTCAGACCGAACCGGCCCGTCCGGTTCCAAGTATGACCCGTACAGGACACTAGTCACAACACTAACTCAATTCCGGTCAGTGCTGCGACTGCAAAAATTTCAGTACACACTCGTTGTCTCATGAAAATTTTCTAGTAACAGCTATAGTGGAAAAGATCAATCTTACTAAAAACCAGCGTTTGCATTTTAATCGACGTTCTTAGTAAGATAACAATATCTTAGTCAATTTAAAGTGATTTCTAACAAAATTCAGACTAGAAATAAATACAACGTTGGGCTTTGATTGAAAATATTTGATAGGGTGATCACAAGAGGAAAATGATGTTTGAATCGTAACACTAATATATGCAAACTAATAGAGGCTAAGTTAGTACTTGCAATTAGGGCTTATTGTCATACGCATGTACTCAAAATATTAGGTTAATATTATAAAGAATAATAATTCTTCACGGTGGACAGCTACTTTTGTCTAGCACTGTATAGATCTACCGTATTTGAATTAATGTTGCATTTGCACTTGGATATGCAAGAACATGTGATGCTGGAGCATAAAATGTATTTAAATAGAGGTACATATTAAGTCTATTAAAAATTAAAGACAAAGATAAAACTGAATTTATTTCAAAAAAAAAACTAACTTGAGACCATGACATTGTTGTATAGTAGCTTTCTGTAATTGAATAAAGCAATATGATGAAGTACCTTTTTTATAACGAAGACTTTGTCGTGTAGCATCAATACATAAACCATTAGAAGCTTGATAAATACAATAAATTGTTTTAGAAATTAAAAATGAAGAAGAAAAAAAACTTTACATGGAACTAATGTTGATACATCTGAAGGAACAGTATTACGTCGAAATTGAAGAACTTCTCCATCAAGATAACCACCTAAATTAAACGATAATTATTAATTACTAGAATAAAACATATTCATACGAGGAATAGTTGTAGATAATGCTGGAATATTTGCAATATTATTCCATTCAATTGTAATTCGTGGATTTGGTGAAGTTCCACTTGGAGCTGCACATAGAACGAAAACTTCGACAGTTGATATGGTATTATCAATCGATGAATAATTAAAACGATAAAATACTCGTTGAATAAGATTGCCTGAACAAGGTATTGCTATAAAAAGCAATGAAAAAAATAAAATAAACAAAAGATAGTAGAAATAAAATTTTAAAAAAAAAACTTTCGAAAAAACATACGTGTAACATTTGTTGCATTTTTAAAATCAGCAAAATTTGTTGAATCATCTATTGAGGCATTTGCAGCAACAAAAAAACTACTATCAATTTCACTATATTGTAAACTATCTCTCAATGGACATCTACTCCATGTTTGATATTGATTACTACATAAGGTAATATCAGTTACATTACAAACAGAACGATAACGTTGAGTTCGTGTAATTGGATATCTACCAGGACAGTAATCATAAATAGAACCATTAGTAAATGATATATCATTGATATTTGGAGAATTTGGAATTCGAAAATAATATTCGCTTGTAGAATCTCTTATATTTGTTGTAGATGATGAAGATATTTGTGTAAAAAAAGTGACGTTTACAAGTAAAGTTGAATCACCACCTTTCAAAAATGATGTTGCAGAATTTATACGAGTATAAAGATTCTGTGTAGAAAAAGAAAAACAATATTGAATTAGAAACAAAAAAAGAAATATGATATATAATATTATACAGATATTGCAGTCGATGTACATGAAATATCACGATTAATTCCAAATAAAACATTTACATTATCTTGACAAGTCATACCAGCTAAATTTCCAGGTAATGTAAATAATATATCTGATGGTTGTTTAATAGGAGCACCTATAGAATAATTTACTGTACTAGAAGATGATGATAGTGTTGTCGGTTGAAATAAATCTGAATATTTATTAACAAATGTTGTACGTAGATTTGTTGCATCTTCATATCTGCTTAAAAATGTTATATTTCTTGTTGAATAAAATCTTCCAAGAACTTCATTAAGCTCAAACTATATTCAAATGATAATAATATTTTATTTTATTGAATTATAATAACATACTTGTACACAAACAAATGGAAAATAATCATATAGAGCTGCTGATGTACTATTCGAGCAATTCCATGTTTGAAAACTTAGTTGATTCGCAGAAGCATAAGAAGCAGTAGTTCGTATTGATTTACATATTGGTGATACTTCCAGATCAGAATCTTCACAATCCTAGATAAACAGAAAAAAAAAGAAATTTAGCGAAAATTTTCATACAATTTTAAGCAACAAACAGAATCACAGCAACAGTTTGAATCGCAAACATTAATTCGAACATCGCATGAACATGGAGCGGGATCAGTAACAGCTGGATTGTCAAAATCACGTTGACTTAAAACAATATCTATGGAAAAAAGGTTTAAATTAATGTTTTAATTAAAAGATAATTACATGGATTGAGTTGAAGAATGATGAGAATGCAAATAAGAAAATATATTGCATTCATTATAATGTCCGATGGTGATTTAATGATGTCTTCTGACAGAATATGTAAATCGCCATTATTGATTCGGTTACTATTGACTAACCTATGATATATCTATGAATGGTTTAAAACATATTTCTATAAATTAAGAAAAACAAATTTATAATTGCATTTGAATTTTTAATAATTCTTTAAGTTGAAATAAAAAATGCATAACTAAATAGATCAAATCTAATTGGTTATCATTGTCCAATAGGAATAGAAAAATGAAATCTCTCTCTTTGTCTATCACCATCCACAATCCATTTTTTCCCTGAGCCTCGTGTTTTGATATTCTTGAGATCGTTTACCATAAATTTTATTGTAGATAAATTGTTTTTTCCGAAATAAAAAAGTAAAAAAAACAATGCTAGCTCATATAGCTGCTAGTGGTCGATGTGCTACTCTTAGTACACTTCCTCGTGTCAATACATTAGCTGTTATCCGTAAGGCTTCAGCATCAAGTGGAAATAGAAAAACCGAAGAACCAGTAGCTGTTTCAACACCAGGTAGTTCAAGTGATGATCCAAATAATTCACCAATGAGTCAACGACCATTACCTCCCGATGACGGCAAAGTTCGTAAGTTAATATATCTATATTGATTTATGCAAATCTAATAATTTATTTCTTCAAAGGTTTTCCAAACCCTTGGGATGTTATCCTTAACAAGCGTCGTTTTGAATATGCTATGGTTTGTAATAAAACAAAAAATATTTGATTTTCATTTATATGTCTATTTTATATTGTAGAAATTCAAAGGATATGATGATCCATTCGATATGATGCCAGTTAAACGTATTGAAAATAGCACAGCAGAAAATCCAAATTTATTACCAAGTTGTAATGATAAACGACTAATGGCTTGTATCTGTAAGTCTATTTTATACTTATTATCTATGTATCACATAAATAAAAGTGTAGGTCCTGATGTGGGAGGAGTTAGCCATACTCCTCAATTTTTTTTGTCATGTCTGTAGAAGTTTTGAGTTGTTGCCAGAAATCTGTTTGTCAAGTTTAATAACGCAGCTTTTCTCAGTTATTTTTTGTTAGACAGGCTATTGTCAAATTTTTAGCTTCTTTCACTTCTAAAAAATATCTAGAGTCCTGAATAGAAACTGTTTTTCTTTTTCTAAGAATTATAAAAATGATTATCTCTATACATATATTTATAGGTAATGAGGACGTTTATCACTTGAAATGGATGCATCTTCATCGTGGTGAACCAAAACGATGTTATTGTGGTATGAAATAATTAATATATAATTTTGTTTTCTTTTTTTCGAATATTTAATTTTGTCTATAGGACATTGGTTCAAATTAACTGAACGACAATTTGTTGACTTAAGTGATTTTGGTATAACTGAAGATATGCAAAAACCAGCCGCTCATTAAGACTTGTCCTTTTGTCTATTATTAGATTATTGTAATCCTTCTTTAACTCTTACAATACTTTCACTCTAGTTTGATCGGTTTTTTTTTTCATAGTGTTCAAATTGAAATAAAAGAAAACCAAAACAATATGTTCTTTTTCTTTTTTTTTTCACTCTCTCTCTCTCTCTGTCTTAGTCATTTAAATCTAATTAAAGAAGAATATGACAGCAGTTTTAGTTCTTCTCTTTCTAATATTCATTTTTAATACAATCTATGCTGAATTATATCGAATAGTTTTATTTAATCATACGAATCTAGAAAATAATATTTGTTATATGACAAATATAGAAAATAAAACTAATCATTGGTGTGAATTAGTTACATCTGAATTCATTTTACCAACAATAAAAACATGTGTAACAATTAATGAAAGTTTATCAAATCTTGATGATCAAACAATAATTAATGAATGGATTGATCGATCAATAGCAATAACAAATTGTTCGTATTATCTTTTATCATCAATGACAATATCTCAAAAACGTATTTTAACAATAGTACAATCAATATTATTATTAATTCTTTTTTTACCATTTATTTTTGAATTAAGTTTAACTATTATTCAATATTGTTTTTATTAATAGATCAATAAACAAAAAACAAAAGAAAATATAAACATTTTATGTATCTTTTTCTTTCAGATATGACTGATTATCAATTAAGTAATGATGATCATGAAGCATTGGAAAAATTTACAAAATTTTTCTTAGTTAAAGCAGCACAAATTATTGTACAATCACGTTTAGGTGAAAAGAAAACAACAAAATCTAAGCCTGTTTATTCAGGAAGTGAATGGGTAAAAAAATTAAATATAATATATAATAATGATTTTCATAAAATGATCTTATCCCTTTTTTTTTAGTTTCATCTTTCGATTAAAGATATCCCAGAAGTGACTGTAAATGCAAAAAAATGTTTAGGAGATGCTCAACATCTCCTAATCAATCCTCCACACAGTCCATTTTGTGTTGAAATATCATTACGTACACCTGATGGTGATACAATTACATTAGAAACATGGTGCATATCATTCGATGATTCAATATTCGATCCAGCACAACGTGTTCGATTTAATGTATATAATCGTATGAGTGTTGTACTTCGATCTTTAGTTGCTTGTACACGTGCAACACCAACATATCAATTATCACGTAAACAATCCGCAGATAAATATATTATTTGTTATAAAATGTATAGTGGTGAACCTATTGTTAGTCATCTTGGTGAACATTATTCAAAAAAAACAATTGGAAGTATAGTTACACCTATTGGACGTTTTGTATTGAATGTTGCTTATCGTACATGTTTAACAATGTCATCACCACAAATGGATAGTGGAACAAGTAGTGCTATGACACAATTTGGTATGGATATTAGAGATGATCATTTTTCATTGGATAGAAATCAACATAGTGTTGAAGAGTAAGTGAATTTTAAAGAGAAACAATATATATATATATATATACATAGTGGCGTCCGAGGAAGAAACTTCAGTCTTGAAGTCTACTGTTTACCCCTTGGTGATGCTCAAAATTGATCATACTGATTGACTTATTTTTCTAATATCCCAATATAGTTTCAACAAATTAAGCTACAATTTTCGCGAAACTATAGTTCCGTATTCATAGTTTATCAACTCGTGATATCATGTATTTACTCTATCAGACTAGAAGTACTGAGAACGATGTGCTTCAATTTTGTTCAAAATTGATCTGACACCACATGCAAAATGGCTGAGCATTTTACGTCGTATTTCATTCTTTTCAACGGGAATGAGACATTTGCAAAAAGTGTTAACAAAATTTCACTTCATTGTAGAAAGTGTAACTTCTCGATCAAAAGAATAAAATACGAGACTTTTAATTATAATATGTGCTTTTTTAGTACATATCTAGTCTAGCAGAGTTAATATTTAACACAGAGGGCTAATATTTCGAGGATATAAACTATGAAAACCGAGTTAAATTTTGACGAAAAACTGCAATTCAATTTATTGAAACTATCGTCAGATACAGTAGTTGCAAAAATTACCTAAATATTAATCTTTAAGTCTCATAGTTTGACTACAAATGGAGCATGTTGAACTCGAAAGTCAACATAGATTTTTTTTTTCTTCAGACGAGGATATCTCAAAATAGAAAACAGTTTTAGTTTGTCTGATTTATGAAGTATTCTTCGGATAATCTTCACATGAGAGTTGATGAAGATCGTCAAAAAGTGATCTATATCTTCCGCTAATTTGAATCATTTATCTTGAGGTTTGCTTTAGTGAGTGCTTTGGTCCAATCAAATTTTCTTGGAAAATTCCACGATTGCAGTCTTTAGTGGAGAAGAGATCTATGTGGAGACCGTCGCAAACAATGGAGGCTTTTCTGCACCTCGAGATTATAGCGGATTGGACTACCCTATCTATAACACGATATAGATATTCAAACCTTCATTTGTTAATAAGAAAATGGAGGTGAATACATTTAAATAGTAGAAAACTAGAAAAGTGGCAAAAAAGTCAGTGTTTTTATCGTAAATCTTTTGCGTTAAGGTCTATCGATCTCGAATTGCTGCTTGTGATCCCTATTTGTAGTCGAAATATCAGGTCAAAGGATTGAATTTTATATACTTTTTATCCAGTGATGGGACTTCTTGCAACTACCGTATTAAAAAAACAAGGTGATCGGTTAGGTACAGGATCAATTTTGAGTGTCCTTGTATATATATTCACTATTTATGTTTAGAGATAGTGATGCACAATTGCCATCAGCACATAATTCCAGTGTACCGAAAAGTTCACCTATTGAAGTAACAAAACGAAGACATACAAGTTGTGACTCGGTTTCTTCCAGTCATGGGTAAATTTAATCATAAACTTATACATTTTATAATTATATTATTCTTCTTTTAAGAACACCTGATAAATTCTATTATAGTAAATTACGTGCAGCTTTTGCAACACCCGGTACAACAGCGCATCCATCACATATGAGTTCATATACTCGTACAAATGACAATGATTTGCCATTTGTACTTATGATGCAACAACAAGAAAATACTCATCAACAACAGCATTTAATGGAACAAGATCAACCACAAGAACAAAATTCGAAAAATAATTTTTTTCTAGGTGGTGATTCAGAAAATGAAACAGCACCCGATGATTTTATTCTTGTTGAAGTGGTATGTGATTAATAAATAAATATTCATTGAATAATTCTAATTGATGGTTTTTTTTTTCTTTTTTTTAATAGAAACCATTTTTTGGTAAAAGTGATTCAACAGATGATTTAGCTTTGTTTATTCGTTCATGTCAACAACCACCAATGCTTGAATCATTTGTTGTTGAACCATCACTGGGTGAAACAATCAACCAGTTGAATGAAGAATTACGTATATTTGAATCGAAAGTTGAAGAATTCGATCAACTTGTTAGTATTTTGGATATGAACTACAAAGCGTCATCAGATGCTGCTGAATAATTAACATGTTGCAACTTGCATATCTCTTATATAAAACAATACAACAGTGCTTTCGGATTAATTTGTCCGTTTCTTATTC